GGTGTATATGTATATATATGATTTATAGAAATTGTCTTCGGAGCCCCTGTATCTCTTCTGTCAGGAGTAGCACCAGTCACTGCTATCCCTTTAATATTTTATTCCCAAACTACATCAATTGAGAAATAATAGGACTTTTATCACCCAAGGAAAACGCAGATAGATAGAGGGCTGTTGGCATTCTTTAAAAGTTTGGATATGCTGTTTACCCTCTTTTTTTTTTTCACAAAAGTCCATTTGCATAATTCTTTGGGAAAACAAAGAGGGATGATAGGCTTAAAAAGCAAGTGCTGGCGATAAAAAGGAAAATTTCGTTTAGTGCTCTGTCATAAAAGAATATAACGGCTGTAAAAGTTTATAGGCAGAGAAGTGAGGAGACTGCAAGGAAGTTCCCTGGCTAGAGAGGATTGGGATTGAACACAACATGTAAATACCTTTCAACAGCTCAGACAAAATATATGATGAGGCAGAAGGAAGCTGGGAACTTCGCCTGCTTTCTTTCCCCTCCTTTTCAGAAGCCTTGGAAACTCCTCTCTGGGGTTTAATGTCTTTTGTTCTTTTTTTTCCTCAGCAATTCCTGGCCGCAAGAATTCAAGCAATAAACTTTCAAACAAGAGAACTCTGTCGAGACGTCTGAAATTGTGTTTTCTTTATCAGTATCATAGTTGAGCTGGCCATTCTCTTTCCCAGTCAGCCCCTCTGCTTCAATCCCCAAACTTAGCAAAAGATCCCTTATTCCCAATACAAGTATATCATGTTTACCACCACCTAGGGGGCCTAAGCGGTGCTCTTCTAGGCTCTTGGTCGCAACGGCCTTTCCATTCATAATCAGAAACACTCTTTTTTATTTTAAATAAATATTGTTTTATTTATTTAAAAGAAAAGTTTTGTCACTTTCCAGTTTAATAGACGCACTACATAGAAATGCACACAAGGTGGCGCTCTCGGTCTTTCATTTGTTTTTCTTGAGTCGTTTAGCGTTTACAATGGAGTCATACAGAACATAACATTAGACATACCCCCCTTTTTACATCTTTTTTTTCTTTCCGGGAGGGATCCATATCTAATCATCGTCATAAGAAATAAAGCATTAAAAAAAAAGAAATATCTTATAAATGTAACTTCTATAGATAATTCAGCTTTATGGCACTGTAAAACGTTTTAACAATCAGTAAATTAGTGAACAATAGCGCTGTGGGAAGATTAGTGTTGTATGGAATAGTAGGAAACCGTTTTGGTGAAATTCTTCCCTGCAGATTACACAGTGACGTCCAACGAACCTTAATTATACAGAGTCTTCCAAAACAGGGTACCCTGTGACGTCAGTGGTCATCAGTGGTCACCTACTAACAGGGTAGCTGTGAGCTCATTCAAGGGGACCATTCCATCAAGTTTTAATCACATTAGATGAATATGGTACTCTAGAAGTATAATCTCTTTACACCAGACCCTAATTAGCATGATTATATGGAAGAATGTTGAACATTAAAGAAAGGACCATGATGTTTGTGTTGCTTAATTTCCCAGTGAAAGATAATGTTACAATAACCTTTAAATCTGTGGGGCATATTTTACCATAATCCTTAATTTAATGGAGGGATCCATTTCATTTTTGTAATACAGAGGGCTCAAGAGAGATCTAAGCACCGTTACCCCATACAACTGTGAAGAACTAGTGTGTGTGTGTGTGTGTGTGTGTGTGTGCGCGCGCGTGTGTGTGTGTGTGTTCTTCCATTGCATTTGAGTGGAGTTTTCTAAATAATCCCATATACCCCTACTCAAAACTATAACACATCTTATTTTTGTTCTAATTTTTTAATTATTTTTTTTTTTCCAAAAACTTGGCAACAAAAAATACAAATGAAAACCCCTCTGATGTATAACATAACTGAGACTGTTATGGGAATAAAAAGCTTATTGCACCACTATTTGTAAACCTCTCGGTGCATGCTGAGGTCCTATTTCTAGCCCTACATAAAACTTATTACCCAGTAGCAATAAACAAAACGATTCAAATGATTATTTCAATGATTAAACAATCATTTAAAGAGCAAATCATTTCAGACGTGTTTTTTTTTTATCCTCGGCCCCTCTTCAGCTCAAGGAAACGTTTGTTACTGAAGAAAAACTCTTCTCACAGTTTAAAGGCAGTATTTTAGGAATAAATATATCGTCATTGCCTATTAATGTGTCCCAGTGCACTCATCTATATTTAACCGGTATACAGCGCTTAGGCCTTTATGGGAAGATATGTTCTAGGTTTACTTTGGAGGTGCATATTGCAGTGAGTTACGTTTGAAAGGTACAAAAGACATGATTTCCTTTTATGTTTTAAGACAGGAGGCCAAGACTGAGCCATAAATACTAATCTACCCTCAGAGCTGAGAAGATAGATAGACAGAGTATGGAAAGATAGATAGATAGATAGATAGATAGATAGATAGATTATTAGATAAAAAAAATATATATAAATAGATAAAATAAGAACAGATAGATAGATAGATAGATAGATAGATAGATAGATAGATAGATAGATAGATAGATAGGAGAGAGAGAGAGAGAGAGAGAGAGAGAGAGAGAGAGAGAGAGAGAG